ATTTTTTAAAAATATTTTATTTATTATTTTATGTGTATGCGTGTATTGCCTGCATGTAGGTAAATGCACCCGTGTCGTGCAGTGCTTGTGGAGGTCAGAAGAGGCTGTCGGATCCCCTGGAACTGGAGTTACAGACAGTTGTTAGCTGCCATGTGGGTGCTGGGATTCGAACTCAGGTCTTCTGCAAGATCAACCAGTGTTCTTAACTACTGAGCCATCTCTCCAGCCCCAACATGTATTTTTCAGTGTTGACTTTCCTTTGTTTGTCTTTTTATTTGACCGTTCTAGCCCCAGAATTCACTTAGTGGATGAAATAAGTACACATTTTCAAATGCAGTTTTTTACTTCTTGGTTTTATTTGATATGTTTCTGGATTGGAGTCTAGGTTTAATGCTCTGAAATAGTTTTTTTTTGAAATAATTTAAGAATGGGATCTATAATATGTCTAGCATAGTTAACATTTTAAACGTAAGAATTTGAAAAGGTTGAGCCTGTTACAGTATCTCTTATATGGTTGACAGAAGAAGGAAGTGGTAATTTTTGGGTTGGCTGCAAATTTTCAAATGTTTGTACATTGTAGAAATTCTTCAGAAGGAAAACTGCCCGAGACCTTCTACCAATAAAACCAGTAGAAATTACCATCGAGGCGTGGTGGGTAGTACAAGCTGGATATATCACAGAGGATGACATCAAGGTAGAGATCTTTAAAGATTAAAACCAGAATTTTTGTTTTTTAACTTTTAATTATAGTTATATATGTATTTTTAAAAAGTAACATTTGGTTTTCCTATGGAAAATCAAACTAATTCAAAATTCAAAATGTTCTTAGTAGGTTAGAATATTAATGGAGTTTCAAAGACAGTCTTTAATGGTGTAGGAGACTTGATTTGGTTTAGGTACAGTAATCTGGGGTCTTAGAGGTTTTGTGTCAAGTGACATGACACACGTGGTAATCATAATAATATGGCTAACATTCCTGAATACTTCACTATGTGCAGATGTGTCATGCATTATTGTAAGTGCCTTCCAGTCTTGTTTAGTGCTTATGACAGCTCCAGGAGAAAGTATTTTGTTTGTATCCCCAGATGAGGAAAGTGAACACAAAGCAGTTAACTAAATGACCCAAGTCATAATGATAGGAAAGAATTATTACTGAGGCAGTTTCTGTGGAATCTATATACTAATCACTGTTGAATTATTATACTGAAAAATGATAGGTGCTCTGCTGGGGCAGTAATATAAAGAGCAAGGGAGTGATACTTCCAGAAGTTCAAGCACATTTGATATAAGCCATTTACATTTTGAAAGAGATACTGTTTAAAGAAAGGCTCGCATGCTAAGTGGGCCTAAAGACCAGGTCGTACCTGTCTGTAGTTGAAGAAATGTTAGTATACTGCTGTGCTGGTTACTTTTTGACACAAACTAGAGTCACCTGGGAAGAGGGAGCCTCATTGAGGATTTTCCCCATGTAGATGGCCTGTGGGGATTTCATGTCTGTAGGGCATTTTCTTGATTGCTGATTGATGTAGGAGGGCCCAGGCCATTATGAACAGTGCTATCCCTATGTAAGTGGTCCTGGACTATGTGAAAAAGGTATCTGAGGCAGAGACAGGCAGAACTCTGTGAGTTTGAGGCCAGCCTGGTCTATGTAATGAGTTCTAGGCCAGCTGGGGCTTCTGGGAGACCCTGTCTCGAAAAGACCAAAAAATAAAAAAGAAAAAGAAAAAGGTTTCTGAGCAAGTCAGGGGAAGCAAGCCAGTAAGCAGCATTCTTCCCTTCAGTTTCTGCCTCTAGGTTCCTGCCTTGGCTTCCCATGATGATGGATTGTATCTTGTCAGCTGAAATAAACCCCGTCTTCCCCAAGTTGTTACTGGTCAGTGTTTTATCACAGCAACCGAAAAGCAAACTAAGACAGAGACCTTTTTATTTTTAAATTTTTTTGTCTGTATTGTCCTCTGGAAGGCAATTTAAAGTTGGAAGCCTTAGAAATTTTGCTTCAGTATAAGTACTTCCTGATGGAGCTGTCAGACTGTCATAAGCTGGTGAACCTTCTCTTCACCACATGATTGATAATCATGTGAAATTTTTGTCACTAGTTGACTTTTGATTTGAAGGTTCAGAGGCAGCAAATGTATCTGATTATATTTCAAAGAAAACAGTAAGTACTTGTGTTTATCAGTGAGTGCTTACTACTTACTAGCAGATGTTGGTATTTGTAAACTATTGGTCCCATATTTTGGCAAAGTGATGGTTGTATGCATGGGGTTGTTGCTGTTTTTTAAATTCTAAATGACAAAAGTATGGTCATTTAACTGCGTGCAGTTAGCCATCAGCTTTAGCATGAATAGATTTTAGGAGACACCATATGAATTAGTGAATTTGGACAGAACTTAACTGAAATATTTTGCTTTTCTTAGATATGTACTTTTCCTGAGAAATCCACCATTGATAAGATCATCGATTCAGGTCCCCAGCTCTCTGGATCACTAGATTACAATATAGTACATAGTAAGTGGTTAGTAGAAATGGTCCTTGTCAACATAAAACTTGTTTTAAACAGTAATTAATATCAATTACTTATCATCTAGGTCCAAATACTATTTATTTCCTAAGTCATGTTTTCATTTATTTATTATTTATTTACTTATTTGAAATATGCTCTTAGTCTGTTACTTTCTAGTGTGGATATAATTAGAAACTTACACAAATAATGGTAAGAAAAATTTTGTAGTTCTGAACATATTAATTACTGATATTTGAGCACTGACATATTAGTGCCTTAAAAAAAAGATTTACTTAATCTTAGCCCTCAGGAGGCAGAGGCAGGTGGATCTTTGTGAGTTCAAGTTCAGCCTAGTCTGTATTGCAAGTTTCAGGCCATTTGGGGCTACTGTCTGAAAAAGAAAAACCAAAAAACAAGATTTAGAAAATTCATTGTCTCTTGTATTTTTTTGTTTTCTCACATAGCATTCAGTTATAAGAATCTTACAGAAAGCCAGTAATCAGATTTTTAAAAAATTACTGTTGTGTAGCGTTCCATTTAAAACAAGATGCTTTTGCTTTTGTAGGTTTGTATAATAAAGGGTTTATCTATCTGGATGTACCAATATCAGATGACAGCTGTATAGCAGGTAAGTCTGGGCTGACATTTTTCACTACTTTTTGAATGGCTGGCTGAGGTTGAACGTGGCATATCATCCTAGTAAACTGAACACAGATTATTGTGGAATCTTAGATATTAGGATTTTTCATAGAAATAAATCCCTTTTTTCCCATTGTATCCCAATTGTGATTTTACTTACATTTCTTATTTCATTTTTATGTTACTTTGATTTATATACTGTATTAAAATAATGGAACTTTAGGATACATTTCTTAGACTCACAAATGAAATAATGTTTTTTTAAGTTTTAAATTTTGTAGAAGCACCTAGTTAGGTATTTATGTTTTCCAGTATATTTTAGCTATTGTTCTTGGTTATGATTTTTAAAATCAAATCGAAATAGTTAATATTTGTGAGACCCAGAATAAAGCTTCAAATTCCAGAGACTGGGCTGTTTACAGATGTACTTCCTCTTGTCAACTCTGTATCTTGGCACACTAACGTGTTGTAGTATGTCTTGGACTTTATTTGAGCTCACAGTTGTTAATGGGATTCTCTTGTAGTTTTTTCCCCCAATGCTCAGTATTGGGCAACCTAGGGACTGTACATGTTCTACCACAGAGCTGTGTTCCTTGCACAGTAATGCAAGGAGTAATGCATAGTGAGTCCCAGCACTTGGGAGGCAGAGGCAGGCGGATCTCTGTGAGTTCAAGGCCAGCCTGGTGTAGATAGTGAGTTCCAGGACAGCTGGGGCTACAGGGAGACCCTGTTTCAAAAAGACAAAAGATTGATAAATAAATAAATAAATAAATAAATAAATTGAATGAACGAATGAATGAAGAATGAATGAATGAATGAATGAATGACGGGCTGGAGAGATGACCCAGCAGTTAAGAGTACTGTTTGCTCTTGTAGAGGACCTGGGCTTGATTCCCAGCACCCACAAGGTGGCTAAACAACCATTTGTAACTCCAGTTCCAGGGGATCCAACACCCTCTTCTGACTTCCTTGGGCATTGTATGACACAGGAGCACTTAACACACGTGCAGTCAATACACTCGTACACATAAAATTTAAAAAAAAAATTTAAAAATACTAATTTAGTATTGTAGTTTTGTATAGTTGTTAGTGTAACAGATAGAATAGTTTACTAGTTTTAAATATGTAACTTTTAAACAAAGGAATGATTCTTAAAAGACAAGTGGTAGTGGTTTCTTGTCAATTTCCTGTTGGGAAATATGAAAGAATTGTTCTAATTCCTATTCTTATCTGATAAACTGACAACATTGACTCATTTGAGATTCACTTAAAAATTAGATAGTACTAGATTTGTTCATTTCAGTCCATTTAACTATTGACAATTTGAGCACTGACTTATATTAGTGCCATTTTTAAAAAAAGAGAGCTAAAAAAGAAAAAAAAAAAAAAAAAACCAAGCAGGGTCCCATGTAGCCCAATCTGGCTTCAAACTTGCTGTGTGGCTGAGGCTGGCTTTGAACTACTGATCTTCCTGCCTTTGCCTCCTGAGTGCTGGGCTTGCAAGCATGTACCACTACATGTTTTTTAAAAGAGTTGACCATTATTTTGATAGTTTAATTTGTCAGTGCTGAGAATACTGCTTCCCATAAATGCATAGTATAAAATGGCATGGAACCATTTCAGAAATTGTTGGAATTTTGTCACAATTCATTTAGTGATTTTTCTATGAAACTCAAAGTCTTCAGCTCAAACAGCAATTTTAAAAATTAAACATTCTACTATAATTCAAAAGTCCACTAACTTGATGCTTACACACCAAGAAATAATGGCAGAAAAGTAGTAAATGTCTTTGTTTTCTGTAATTAAGGCATTATGTTTCTATAAGAGCAAAAAAACCTTTGTTTGCATAGTAATTAACAGTGAAGATCCCAGCTGACAAGAGTCTTGACTCTGAGCCATGGTATTTTGGGCAGTGTGGTGTGATGGCCTGTGGTGCAGTGCTCCTGGTTGTGTCTTCAGAACTACAACTGCAGTGAAGTTATACAATACAACATGGGAGCCTTGCCAGAAACACCATGGATTTATTATGTGTTTGATTTAGAATTAAATTTTATTATGGGTTTAGAAACCTTTTACTATTGGCAAATTTTTGATGACTCTTATATTCAGATTCACAATCCCAGATTGTGACCCACAGCTTAAGAAGCTGGACTCTCTTTCATACATTCTGTGTTAAACTTAGTATATCCTAGAGACTATATCTCTGTGAAGAGTTGTCTCATTCTTTTGTCATAGATGTAAATTGTACCTTAAGAAAATTTCTAACCTCTTACTCCCTTGGTATCTCTAAGGAAGGGATAATTATAATAGTGTATGACCCTTGTGGGCTTAAAGATTAAATGGTCTACGTAATAAACTTTGCAATTGTTCAGTACTTAGTAAGCATTCCGTAAATGCTTGAACAAAGCAGTGGTATAGGGTAACAATTAATGATGCCAATTAGAAAATTGTTTTATGAAACCTATCACTGAGAAAAGTCTGTTTTGTTTTAGTTCCTCCTCTTGAAGGTTTTGTAATGAATCGAGTACAAGGTGATTATTTTGAAACTCTACTCTATAAGATATTTGTGTCAATAGATGAGCACACTAATGTTGCAGAGGTAAGTGGCAGACATCTTATGGAAGAGTTTATATAACTCAAGATTAGAATAAGTTTGGGTTAGGTAAGATTAATGACATGCTAAAATATTTTCATAATCAGCACATAGGGAGAGTTAGATCATTAATATAGTTAAGTGTTACTTTGCTTTTTTGAGATGATCTCATGTAGCCTAGGCTGGCCTCTTCTGGGTATTGGGATTACAGGTGTATGCTACCATGCCTGGCTCAGACATATATATATTTCGAATTAATAAATTTTTAATTTGGTTAGAAAGCTTTTTATGAGTTTCTTTATAGTAAAAGATTGTAGGCCAGATTGATCTATTTAGGCATGTTTTCATTTTAAATAAAAAAATAGTGAAGCATAGGAATCTTAAATTGTTGGCCATTACCTAGATTTCTTAATATTCCAAGGATCTTAGAGATGAAGGAAATAAGAAAAATCTGAATTTAAAATTTATTCAGTTTTTCAATGCATAAATTTTCTGCTGAGTGTGATTTACATTTGTTTATTACAACTGTGTAATGTGCTGGTAATTTTATTTTCTAGCTTGCAAATGTCCTTGAGATAGACTTATCCCTGGTTAAGGTACGCTATTTTATTTTTTACTGTTTTCATTGTAATGTAAATACTGAATGGATTTGCTAGTTGATTTTTATCTTGATGCACTACTGAAAGCAGGCATTGGGATTCTTAGCAGCTGCCACAGGGGTTATACACAGTAAAGGGATGGCTGTGAAGAGAGAAAGGGCAGTATGAAAAGCCCTGAGTCTTTTTCCACCAGTAGGAATGAAAGAGAGCACTCCATTAATGTGGACAGCAGTGAGCAGCCCAATCAGTGTCTTGTCAGGAGCTCTACTAAGGCCGTAACTCTGTCTCATTGGAAAAGGATGTAGGGACAGCTGCACCCCCCCACCCCGCCGCCACCTCCCAATACATGTGAAAATTATAGAGGAAGAATAGTCCTGCCCAAGCTGTCCGGTAGTTAAGGTAAAAAAATGCTTGAGCATCACTAGAGGCTTAATATCTTACAGTATGTTTTTCTTACAAATATTCTGATATCTTTTAAACAAAATTTTCCTTTACATTCCTTTCAGAATGCTGTTTCAATGTATTGCCGATTGGGCTTTGCCCATAAGAAGGGACAAGTAATAAATTTGGATCAACTGCATTCAACATGGAAGAATGTTCCATCTGTAAACAGATTAAAGTAATGCCTTTATTCAGTATGACATAGTTTCCTTTGAAAAGAAATTTAGCTTTACGTGCAGAAAGTGTATTTATTCAGTATGCCAGTGGAAGTGAATCCTGTATACTAGTGACTGTCAAATCTTCTGTATGTGATGGATCTTTTGTGATCTGATGAAAGCTAAGTCTATAAAGATAGAGGAAAAAGGCACATATAAAAATGTATAATTTTGAAGAACTTGAATTTCCTAAAGCCTGTGTATAGGTCTTAGTTAGGCCCAAGCATTTTTGGGTCACATCTTAAATTTCAGACCTGAATATAAGATTAGATTCAGGGCTGGAGAAATAGCTCAGTAATTAACACTTGCTGCTCTTGCAGGGGACCTGAGCTTGGTTCCCAGCACAGTCATGGATGGGCTTACAACTGCCTGTAACTCTAGAGGCTCCGATGCGCTCTTCTGGCCTTTGTGGTCACTGTACTTAAACGTCTGTTTAACGGTACCAGACACATACACACATAATTTAAAAATAACATAAAAAGAACTGGATTCAAATAGATTGTTCATAGTTAAGTACTGACTTCAGTAGCTATTTTTTATGAGATTTATATGATTTTTAAAAAGTAAATATATTCTTCATTAATAGGAGCACTTTAGATCCACAAAAGATGCTCTTATCATGGGATGGCGGGGAAAGTAGGAGTCCTGTGCAAGAAGTTTCTTCGGCTACTGACACTGATACCAATAGTCAAGAAGATCCAGGTTAGCAGTAACTCAGTTTAATTTAGTCTGTCTATAGATATGCCATCTGTCTGGACATACACTCCTACAGCTGCTCTGTAGTTCTGCTTCAGTTTTCTTATTTAGTATTCAAGTCTGAGTACTTACCAATACTGTGAACACTGTGTGAGTCTTAGGGATATAAAGCAGACAAGAACTACAACATTTTGAGCAATTGTGGTGTTTGGGGCTGCAAAGAAGAGACCTTTTATTGCCTGGAAAGGTTTGGGAAGCCTTCAGGGAGAAGACACTCTGGGTTAGACTGACTCTGAGGCTGCTCACCAGTGAGGAAGGCCATTTCAGCTCAAGAGAAAGTGCAGGCTGAGGCCAAAGGGAGGTACCCAGGGTTTAAAGTCGGGGGTAACAGGAGCCTGGGATGGCCTTTCTCCTGTTTCTGCCTGTTACATGAGCCACATACTAAAGAATTTCATTCTCTTGGTTACACTTACTGATCTGACAGTTACTAGGAATTTTTATTTCTGGTTTTTAAGGAAATTAACACAAAAACAAATGCCTTTTACAATTACTTTTTTCCCTCACCTGATGTTTGTATATACTTGTAATCCTAGCACTAGGGAGGCAAATGCAGGAAGATGGGAGTTTAGGACCAGTTTGTGTTAAATAGTGACTCAAAAAACCCTGACTCAAAAAAATTCTTGACCCTTTTATGACTATAATATTCTTTATAATTAATTTAGGTATTGTGGCCATCAAGCGAAGCTGAAGTGAAATACTTATTTAAATGATAAATATAATCAACTTTTCATTGACGTGATTTCACATTCTGATGTATTTTTTTCTGATTTTTTTTCAGCGGACACAGCCAGTATAAGCAGTTTGAGTCTGTCCACAGGATATACCAAGCGTATTGCATTCCTATTTGACTCCACTCTTACTGCGTTTTTAATGATGGGGAATCTTTCACCAGTAAGTCAAATGCTGGTTTAAATGCAATGATGTTTAAAGCCAGGAGGAGATCTAAAATAATTCAGTACTTTATGAATATGTTTTTAAGTATTAGACCTATTCTTAAAAGCATAGCTGACTTTCTTTACATTCCTTAGAACAATGTGATTATTTCCATCAAAGATTGCTTTTGCGATTAGAAGAACCATTTCCTCCTATTTTCCATCTTCCAGTTTAAATATATCAGAGAGCATAATACACGTGTTATTCTTAGCATGGAAAAGGAAAACCACAGCTTCAATATTGTGCTTGGTTTTGCAGAACTTGAAAAGTCATGCAGTCACAATGTTTGAAGTGGGCAAACTCTCCGATGAATCTCTGGACAGCTTCCTTATAGAACTAGAAAAGGTAAGTTGGATTGTGCTCTAGGCAGGATTGGGACCTTTCCTACTTGACTTACTGTCCACTGTGCCGATGTGACATTGTCTTGTGGTTTTCATATAGTTTTGCTCCTTCCTGTCTCTTACCCCATCTTCGTCCCTTGCTAGTCATTTAGACTTAAACACAGCCTATGCAGTGTGTATTTTGTAATTTTAAAGGTGATGTGTGTAACTTTTATCATGGTTAAGATAATGAGAAATGGAGTATAGAAATCTTTGTGTAATTTTTTCTAAACTTTACCTCTTTTTTAAAAAAATCTGGTGTGACTCTGAGGTCAGCTCTGGAGTAGTTTTGTTTGAAGTTTTGTTCTTCGCCTGGAACGGTGTCCCTGAGTATCATATTTATGTCTGCTCTCCTATCTCATTTAGCATCTTGAAGACAGCTATTTTTGCTTTTAACTTCCTTTTCCCCTGTGAATAAGCTCCATTTTCCTTAGCTATAAATCTTGCTTGTACTTTATTGGTGCCTTTTCTTTCCTGGATATTTTATTCTGTCCTCTTTTCTTTGTATGCCAGTGGTTTTCCTTCCTTGACTAGTAATTTTAGTAGTCTTGTGCTTTAGTTAGGAAGTCTGCATATTAAATGTTCTATTTAGAGAATTTTTAGTGATTTCTAATTCTTTTTAAAAAACATTTTATTTAATATTTTATGTGTATGAGTGTATTGCCTGCACCCATGTCATGCAGTACATGTGGAGGTCATAAGAGGGTGTTGGATTCCCCTGGAACTAGAGTTATGGTTGGTTCTTCGCTGCCGTGTGGGTGGAATGGAACCCAGGTCCTCTGCAGAGCAACCAGTGTTGCTGAGCCATCTCTCCAACCCAGTGATTTTCTAATCCTTTTATATCTTAAAGTAACATTTTTTCCATTGTTCCATTTCTATAGATTTTTTACATTTATTAGTGCATAAATATACAAGAAATAATACTTATTAATTGGCCTCATTTTTATCTTTATTCCTCCATTCTTCCATACATTTTGCTAATTATTGTTTTACTTGCACATTTCAAGTGCTGATTTCCTGAATTTTCTCTTATGTCAGCTAGCCTCTTACCAGGTAGCAAATCCCAAGAGCACGTCCACTTTCTCACTCACTGTGTATCTGTGCTCTTTCTTTTTAACCAAGCAGTCATTCTTGGGAAAGCTGTATAGTCTGAAGTGGTTTTTTAATGTAACCTGATATTCAGCTTAATTGGTTGATTTTGTTAATTGAATGCAAATCTAATCTAGTTATTTGCTCCCAAAGATGTTAACTTCCACTTTCTGTGTTTCTGGATGTCTGTTTTTATGTCATACAGGAGGCTGACTCCTGCCCAGAGAGGCCAGTAAATGCAGGAGTCCTGTCTGCTTGGTGCCTTGTTCCTTCTTGTCTCCTAGGGAGGTCAGAGGACATCGCACTCAGTAAATTCTTGTTGAATAAACCAAGCTTGTACCCAGCCATAATGAACAGCTATGGTTAATGATTTCATTTCGATATTTTTGACTGATGACACAAAATCACATGCAGAATGATGAAAATTAGAGATATTGGAGTGCTTTTTGATGAAGCAGGATGGACTTTAGAATTTCTTTTGGTGTTTTTTTAAAAAAAAATATTTATGGGGGCTGGAGAGATGGCTCAGTGGTTAAGAACACTGGTTGTTCTTTCAGAAGACCCGGGTTTGAATCCCAGTACCCACATAGCAACCAACAACTATCTGTACCTTCAGTCCCAGGGGATCCGACAGCCTCTTCTGACCTCCATGGGCATTGCACGACACGAGTGCACTTACCTACATGCAGGCAAAACCACATAAAATAAAAAATAAAATAAAATTTTAAAAAATTATATTTATTTTTTATTTTAAAAATATTTTATTCATTTTTAAACTGGAGCTAAGGTTGGTTGTTAGTCACCATTGTGGGTGCTGGGACTTGAACCCATATCCTCTGCAAGAGTGGTCAGTGCTCTTAACTGCTGAGCCATCTCGCCAGCCTCCTATTTTTATTTTACTGCAAGAGTAACCAGTGCTCTTAATCATTCAGTCATCTCTCTAGCCTGGGCTTTAGAACTTTTTAAATGCCCTATTTGAATCATACAGGGAACATGGAGCTTATATAATGGTGCTATTTAGCATTTATTCAGTTGCTGAAATTTTTATGCTTGTTGGAATCATTTTCATCACCTCCATAGATGTAGTAAGATTGGAAACTTCTGACATTGCTTGAGGTTATTTGTTTCAATATTTCCTGGGCAGGTTTTGGAATTAGAATTTTTCAGTAATATTTTAATAGCTGTATTACATGATTATTAGAATGGACAGCATGAGAGTAGTTTTTGTTGAAAAATCTATTTTCTCTTGGTTTAGGTTCAGAGCACTGGTGAAGGAGAAGCTCAGAGATACTTTGATCATGCACTCACTCTGAGGAACACAATACTCTTTCTGCGTCATAATAAAGATCTGGTTGCTCAGAGTGCTCAGCCAGATCAACCCAGTTACGGTATGATAATTGTACTTAATTTTGAAGACATGATCCTGTCAACTTTCTTTCCGAGAGATTAAACAAATCTTGCTCACTTATTTAATCATCACCTGCTTTAATACATTTTGTGTAGCTAGCATGTTGGATTTGTAACTAGAGGCTTACTCTATGGCTGTCCTTGTCAGCTTTCCTTCCTCTCACTTGTTGTCTTTAAACCTGCTTAGTCCTTAAAAGAAGTTTGGAGTGTTTACTTCAGAAGCTGGATGGACTTTATAACAGACATCAGCTTTGAGGGGCGAGCAGAGGCATGCCATCTGCATCTTTGAGCACAAAGCGGTGGGGTACAGAGAATGCTGCTGCTTGTCCTATTGGGAAATGTTGCTGCTTGCTGTGGGGCTCTGCTTGACCATTGAATCTTACGTCTTACTTTTTATTTTTTAAAGAAATTAAGTTCTGTCATTTTGATGTTTTAAAAGCTTAGTTGAATAGAAACACTATGTTACTGATAATTTGAGCATATCGTGTAGGACTGGTATTCGCTGTAAGCAATCTCGTGTATGAAGAAGAATCATTTGTTAGTACTCTTAGTTTTAAATAGCATGAGGCCACTGTTGAAAATAGAGCAATGTGTGGTTTATATAGTTTTTTTCATTGATAAGCACAATATTTTGAAGATAATCCTTTGTTTTTAAAGACTTCTTCCACTATGATCAGTATGTTAGGCATTGGAATCTCTGCTTGTAATTTGTAGCCTAGTGCTGTAGAAATGTTTAGAAATGGAACTGCATTTATATATGAGCTATCAGAGTTATAAAAAAACTTAGAAAATGTGTTCTAATTCCTGAGAGCTCTAGATGTCATACTTCCTTGTCTTAGTGTGCATTAGATGTATTTTATACTTGATATTGGTAATGCTGAGTTTTGTCTGAAGGGTAGCAAGCCCCTCATCCTTTTGTGTCTAGAAAATGACTTACTTAAAGACCTATCCTTTTTCTACATAGCTTATAGAAGTTAGTTTCTACCTTCTGTGTTTACTTCTGACAAGACCAGAAACAGACCTTCTGAATTCTTTCTTTGCCTCATAAGTGGTTGACTGAACTGCCTGTCCCATCTGATCAGTCAGAACAAGATGCTCATTAACCAGTCTGTGGTTAGCTTCTTTTCTTCTTCCAGGCTCCTAAAGTTTACACTGACCCACACCTTACAGTGAAACATTCTCCAATCTGCTGTAATACCCTACCTCTCCATGCCACTTCTTCATACGTGACTTGTTTCTGCCTCATATATCCACCCTATAAAGGACCTTGCATTAGTCTCCCCTGTTGCAACCAGGCCCAATGCCCCCAGTCCTTTTCAGGAAAATCTTTCCTAAATGGTAAGATTGAGTTTTTTATTGGATATTTCCCCATTCATGGCTGTTGTACAGTTTCTCACTGAACAACATGAATTTCTTTGGGCTTTACAGGGGTCTCCCTGCCCACTTCTTGTCCTTTTCCAAGCAACCTGCCATCTTCTGCCATTGTACTTCAGGCTGCATCCATTCCTCCAGCCAGATAGATACGTTACTTGGTAGAGGCCCCTTCTTCTGAGGCTTCACTCTCCAGCCTCTCCTTGTTTTCCAGGTGTGAACCAGGTGCTCTTTCTGCTGTCTGTGAGACTCTGTCTCCCCACTCAATCACATACTCTGGGTTTTTTAGCATTTCAAATTTACAGAAACACTGTAACAATGAGAGTAACCTTTTAACCCAGAATTTGGGAATAAGGTGTACATCATGGCCTTTGCCCCCTTAGTTACCCAGGGTGTATATCTTAGAAACAGCCTGCTTTCTTTTTTACTTTTCTGTTGCTGTGATAAAACACTGACCAAGGGAACTTAGAGTAAGAAGAACGAGACTAGAAATCTGGCAAGGCTTAAGAACTCTCAAAGCCCACCCTCAGTGATATGTTTCCTCCAGCATGGCCACACCTCCTAAAGCCTCCCAAACCAGCACCACCAAGTGGGAACAAAATGTCCATATACTTGGAGCCTATGGGGGACATTGTCATTCAAACCACCACATACGGCTATTGTGTTACAGCAGCTTTTGCTACATCTAATTTCCAGTTTGTCAGTTAGCAGTAATGCGAATGACTTTCTTAGTGTGTTTTTTTTTTTCATCTTGTAGTACAGGATCTGGTGTAGGAAAAGTATCGAAGTATCATATTTAATCATGTTTCTTTTATCTTCTTTATTCTCTAACAAATCCATGTCCTTTTTTTTTTTTTTTATGTCATTGTTCATTTTAAAGAGTGCTGTCCCACTTTTACTGGGCCTGTAGCATTTCTCATCTTAGGGGCACATGATGTGTCCTTATGATTAGGTTTAGGTTTCTTATTCCTGTCTAGAGTACTGTACACATCATATGTCTTTCTGATATGTTATCTGGATGCATCTGCCTCTTGCTGGTGATGCTAATTTTGATCACTCAGTTAATGTGTCGTCTGAGTTCTTCATGATATAGTGTATTTTTTTTCTCTAAAGTTTGCAAGTATTCTGCTTCTCTTCACTATTTCCGCTAGATTCGGAATCAGTAGTGGCCCTTTCTCAATCATGATGGTGGCAAATTAGTCTTTTTTCCCCCTCCGTATTCTAGCATTGCCTCAGTATTTAACAGTGGAGATAGATGTGTGGATCTATAGTATCCTCTTTTTCAGTGATTAGTAGTTATTACTGTTTTCGTTATTTTTTGTACTCTAGTTGCCTCATATTTTGCCTTCAAACTAGTTCCTGTCTTCCCATTTTTATTTATCTATTTTTTCTTCAACAGTACCTTACCTCTGGCAAACAGTACAGTCTAATCTTACCCTGTACTTGGCTCATCATTCCCCTAGGAGCCTACTTTCTTTTCCTGAGCCTTGTGTGAGGCCAGGATGCTGGTGCTAGCAGTGCTTAGTGCTTTTTGACCCTTTCAACAGGCCATATACTTTTTCAGATTCATTCCTACTTGAAGGGGGAAATAGCCAATTGATCTTCTGAAGTTTCTTTCAGTCTTAAATGTCTCTTTTAAAAGAGAACAATAGGCTTAGAAAAAATATATGTGTTATGGAGCATGTGTATGTCACATTGTACATGTGGAGGTCAGAGGACAGCGTTTCAGGAGTCAGTTCTTTCCTTCTGCTGTGGCTTTCTGGCAAGTGCTTTTACCTGCAGAACTGTCTCTCTGGCCCTAGACAGCAATAGTATATAATGTTCTGGTGGATGAAGGACAGCAATGCTTAACATGCTCATTGAGTCATGCTTTCTGGACCAGCAGTGTAGGGCACAGATTTCTAAATAAGGAATGCTTACGTCTATGCTAGAATCAGATCTGGGCTATCAATCTCTTTGTAGAGATTTCAGTTTGGGGTAAACAAAGATACAGCTTTTCTTGGCACTTTGGCTGTCATAAAACACTGCAGAATAGTCTGAAAGCACTGCCAGACAGCTATCTTTCTAGACCAGAGAATAAAAACTTTTAACTCTTAAGAGTCTTGGTGGTCTTGTCAGAAATTTGGTACTTATTAAAAGTTACTGTACCACTAAAAATTAACTCTCAAGGCAGTGATCAGCAGTTTATCTTGAACATTTTTGTCTCACGTGATCAGGCTTTTATTCCTTGTGTGCTTCAATCATAACTCAGGTTTCCCTCTGGACCTCTTACGTTGTGAAAGCCTCCTTGGGTTGGATCCCGCAACTTGTAGCAGAGTTCTAAACAAAAATTACACGCTCCTTGTTTCCATGGCTCCTCTCACCAATGAGATCCGGCCCGTCAGCAGTTGCACTCCTCAGGTAAGGACTCTTGGAAGATCAGGTAGTAATGTGGTTATTTCATTAGGGAAAACAGTTCTTGATTCTTAATCAGCAAGTGCCAAATATTGAAAAAGCACCGACTTGGAAAGCTGTCTTGTGCTTTATGCTGTTGTAAGATGCTGTCACATTCAAGTTGTGAGATGTAATTGGTATATTTAACTTGTGTATTGTTGAGTGACCTTGAAATTTTATTCATTTGAAGTATTTTAAAATGCATGTTTTGGAGTGCTCCAAAAAGGAAGCTGGGTGAACTTAATTAGGAAAAGATCAGATGTTTTAGAAGTAGTGCTGTGATGACGTTTGTAAGCTAGAACTCTGTAGTTAACTATGGTATTTGCCAGAATTGCTGCTAGTCTTAACATTTTAAAAATACATTTGATACATTTCTTTCCTTGGTGAGGAAGGTATGCTTGTGCCATTTTCAAAGAGTAGAAGTTGTATTGCTGTTCAGTGTTCCATCCTGCCTGAATTCCTAAATGTGTAGGGTTTAATGAAACAAAAGAGAGGAAGTGATTCTTATACAAAGTTATTTTTGTTGTCTGTGCTGTTCTAGCTGTCTCAGAGAGGACCCATCCCATGCCAACATTTTGGTCTTGCATTAATAGGAATGGTCTTAGATTTTCATTTAGCCAGGCTTTTGTATAGTTATTTATCCTCTTATTTTACCTCAACATAAACACACAGAAGTCTATGAACTGTCTAGAAAATAGATGAAGGGGACATTGTCCTTTTGAAAAAGTACATGTGGTTAATGATAATAAATACTGTAATATGGAGCTTGTTTGCCAGACACTGTTTTAAGCCTTTTTGAACAATCTTAACAACATCTTTACGAATTATTTACTTGTTCTTTTGTAGATTGAGTGAAATGAAGCACAAAGTTTAAGAAACTGTCTTAGTATGGTATGGCTGAAGGGATGAAGCCTAGACTCAGACCTAGGCAATCCACTTACAGCCCAGTCATCTGCAGTGATAAGATGTGTCTTCCTAATTTCAGTGTAAAGGCAAAACTATTTTACTGGACCAGTTAGCGTTTATCTTCGTAAGAATAATAACAATTAAAATATGTACTTTGTGCTTGTTACTTAGAAGATTATACTTGGTCATTTGTGAAATTTGACTCTAGATATTACAGCTTTATCTTATTTTACGATTATAGCATATTGGACCAGCTATTCCAGAAGTCAGTTCTGTCTGGTTTAAATTATATATTTACCATATCACTGGGCAAGGACCACCATCTCTCTTATTGTCTAAAGGTACAAGACTTCGGAAACTGCCACATATATTCCAGGTATGAGTGTGAGGCTTTCTTCTCTTCTCTTCTGTTCTGTTGAAGTTTGAATCCAGGGCCTCATACATATAGGCAAAGCATTTTGAGCAGTTTTCTTTGAGAATAGAAATTGGTAAACAGTAGATACCTTTCTTATTTTTTTTTCTTTATTTCTGAGTGCTGTTTTATCTGTTATTCATTTCTTTCTGCTAGGGTTATGATCGTTTACTTATAACATCCTGGGGCCATGATCCTGGGGTAGTTCCTACATCAAATGTGCTTACGATGTTGAATGATGCTTTAACCCATTCTGCAGTGTTAATTCAGGTATGTTTGTCTTATTTGAAGCAGATCAATTTTAGGTTCTTATTACTTAGATCGTACTTCGTCTAGCTTCTACTGAATTGCAATCAGAGGCATTTACTTGTCAAGTTGAATTGTAAGGAGCCAGGGCTCTGCTGGGCCCTTGGTGTGTGGGGGAGTAATAGAACAACATGAACTTTGAGTTTGGGCCCATGTTCTGGTTTGTTTTCTGTTGCTGTGATGAAACGCTCTTGACAAAAAACTAACTTGGAGAGGAAAGGATTTATTTGACTTATGTATTCTGATCCCAGTCCATCATTAGGGGAAACCAGGGCAGGAGCATAAGGCAGCAACCTGGAGGCAGAAACTGAAGTGAAGACCATGAAGCAAAGACTGCTTACTGACTTGCTTCCTCTGGCTGGTGCTCAGCCTGCTTTCTTATACAAGTTAGGATCACTGCCCAGGGTTGCTACCACCCACAGTGGGCTGGGCCCTTCCACATTACTCAGCAATCAAGAAAATGCCTTATAGACATGCACACAGGCCAGTCCAACAGAGGCTATTGTCCTATTGAGTTTCCCTCTTCCCAGGTGATTTTCAAGTTGACAAGGGGAGCTAGCTATCCAGCACAGCCTGTGTTTGAGTTACAGCCTCACTGTTCACTGTGTGACCAGTTTTCTTTTGGAAAAATAGATTGTTCTGTCATTCACATTGTCACAATTCACAATTAAACTTATACCATTCGGTGGATTTTAGTATTTTTACAAATTTGCATAGCTTAGCTGTTAATATACTCAGCTTTAAGATATTTTTATCACCTCAGAAATAAACCATGTGCCATTGCTGTTTTTTTTCCTCACATTTCTCCATTCTCCCTAGTCCCAAGTAACATTACTATCTCTAGATTTGTTTAGCATCTTCTGGACATTGAGTATGTGGCAGATGATGTGTTGGGTTTGGGACATGTTGGGTATCAGGTGGTAGGTAGGCACTTGAAAGTATTATGAAATTCAAAGCAGAGTGTGGATGAGAGATGACTTAACTGTCAGTCCTGACATGTAGGTGGTAGTTGAATCCCTAAGGGGATAGACTCAGCCAGGGAAAATGTGCTACCATAGGGATGGTATTGATAGATAATAATGGGGTGGGCTGGACATGGACTTAAGTCAGATTGTCTAAATTCACATCTTGATTCCACCACTTAGTGGTTCTTTTGGGCAAAGTAAATAACCTCTTTGAATTTCAGTGTCCTTACCTGTCAGATGGAGATAATAAAAACCCCTGCCTTTTTGACAAGATTGACTGAGACAGATAATCAACACAAAGTGCTTAGCACTCTGCCTAACACCTGGGCTGTCTCGAGGATGTCAACTGTGGTGCTGGTGTGGTGAGGGAGAGTGGGAATTGCTTTTTCCTTCTTGTCACTGTCATAGGCTGGCCTTCTACTTTGAATGTCAGTTTTCTTTACCTGTAAAGTGAGGGGCTTGATTGCCAAGGTCTATTCTTCAGGTAGTATTTAGTGAGTCAGGACAAATTTAGGTTTTTTTTTTGTTGTTGTTCTTCCATAAAATACGAATAGAAGAATGTAGGTGTATCAGTTACTTTCCTATCGCTGCAACAAGACACTACATACATGTAAACATAAAATTAAATTATTCATGCTTAAGTTTTTATACTACTATAAACTCACCCCAAACTTCATCATTAAAGGCAAGCAAAATGCTGAAACAAATATAAATGAAGATTAATTAATTGAATGTGATAGATGAGCTTAAATAATTTGTAACTTGTGGGAATAAAGTTTTTAAATGTTTTAAGTTAATAGTACATTCACATGATTAAAAGATAAGGCTGTTAAAAAGGTATAGAGTCACTTCCTTTTAATCCTGTCTACCCAGTTTCTAATCCTTGTCTTTCCAAAGGAGCTCATTGTAATTTTAGTTGCAGCTGTATCCTTTGTGCAGATACAAGCAATTATACACTGATGTTCCCCATGCTTTTCACTTTCTCAATTAGAGAGCCATTGCATCTCACAGAGTGCTTCCTCTTTCTTTTTCTGGTAGCACTGAAAATATGTATCATAATTTGTTAACCAGTCTCTGTTGTGGGCATTTTGGTTTTTTCTGGTAGGTGTAATTATACTGCTGTAGTAAGTATCTTCAAAGGCTACCATTTCCTTGCAGGATTTTGAGTTGTGTATTCCTGGTCAGATTCTTGCCCCACTTTTCTCTCACAACTATAGCTGACCTTTATACATGTGTTCAGTCTTTACTTGGCTCACACCGCTCTTGTGTGCCTCTAATTAGTTAGCCTCCTTTTTTCCCTTTATATGCTCAGTTTGAGAAACATGGTCCAATATAAAATGCCATTCCTTGCTATAAAAAAAAGAAAAAAAAAATTGTCAAAGGCATGTGACGGAATGTTTGCAGTTACTGGAAATGTTTTCTTACCACCTTCCAACTTTTGCTTCTCTCTGTTTTCAGGGACATGGTTTGCATGGAATAGGAGAAACTGTCCATATTCCATTTCCGTTTGATGAGACAGAACTACAAGGAGGTACTTTTTGAATTCTCTCCATTTGACTATCATTAGTCAGCAGTTTGGTGAAAGATGACAGGAAGTAAATTCTTAAAAATGTTAAATTCTAGATTCTTACTGTTCTGTTAAAAGAGTATTGCAGAAGGTGGTTTTTAGTCATGGGCTTTTTGCCAAGGAGCTGATAGACAAATACTTTTAAGGAGTTCTAGTATGTTTTAGAGGAAGAGAGTAAGTAGGTATTTGTCTAGATGGACGAATTCTCTGTGTGTGTAGCCATGTAGTGATTTCCTTTTATTGAGTGTCCAAGACTGTGTAAATTATTAATTTTTTAAAAAAGAGTTGTCTTCATAGTTCCTCATTGGAATCAGTCTTTCTTAAGTAGTTCAGAGACTAGAAAAATAGTTCAGTTTTTGCTGTTGGGTTTTGTAAAGAAAATGTTATTAATGTGTTCCGTCTTTCTTAGAGTTTACTCGTGCCAGTATGGGCGTTCATAAAGCATTGCAAACTTTGAGGAACAAAGTGGACTTGCAGCATTTCTGTGGCTATGTCACCATGTTGAATGCTTCTAGCCAGTTTGCAAGTAGAAAGCTCAGTGATGCCTCTGATGAGAGAGGTCAGTTACCAATTTGATTCTTTGGTTAAGGTAACTTTTTTGAGTTTCACAGAGTCTTTAAAAAATATTATTTTCATTTTATTTTATGTGTATAAGTGTATTGCCTGCATGTATGTAAGTGCACCTGTATCATGCAATGCCCACGGAGGTCAGAAGAGGGTGTTGGGTCCCCTCGAACTGGAGTTATGGATGATTGTTAGCTGCCATGTGGGTGCTGGGAATCAAACTTGGGTCCTCTGGAAGAGCAGCCAGTGCTCTTAACCATCTCTCCAACTCCTCACTCAGTCTTAATATAGAAAAAGCAGCACACTTTGGTGGAAATGTTGAATTTCTTAATGCTAATGTTTCTCACTAAAGGACAAGAAAGTATCCTGCAACATTGAGACACATGTCCATAGTTAGAGTGGAGAAAGTACCAAGTGCGTGACTAAAGAGGTGATGGCTGCGCTGGATACAGATTTTGCATCTGTGTTCATAGGCTTTGACTAAACTAGCTTTAAGGAGTGATGGTTTCAAAACTCACGTCATTTTGTAACAATATTTGCAAGATAGGCTTATTAGTTTCCAAGTTTTGTGAATTAGGTGTTGGGAGTATCTCATACTCATTTCTTCATTTCTCTTTTTAAATTCTCAGTCTGGATCTTGATAGCTTGAACATGTGTTGCAACCATTTCCTGCATGCCTTCTGCTTTCTGTCCATAGATTGCCCCAATATCAACACAAGCTTGTTATACCATGTTCTTTCTCTTTAATTTAAAAATCCACATTCAGATTACCTCTTGCTTACTGGTTGTTTCTTCTCTGACATGCTGGTTTGTATGTACCTTTGGTTGCTATGATGTCAGCTCTGGCCTACTGACTGAAAGCATCAAGTGTCTGCCACTGGTTGACTGTATCCCATGAGCCTTTTAGTTTGAAATCCTGAGAAAATGTGATTAGTATTCATCCAGTGGATTGGACTGGCTCCCTTTGAGTTAGATACCTACTTGTGGACTGTATCTTTGGTCAAAGGAGTTGGGTGCAGTTCTTTTTAAGTCACTTGTTCCACAGACATTTAATAACTGTTTAAGTTCTGAGATATTTAAATGAGGAAGTTGCTATTTTAGTCCAGAGAGTATAAAACCTCAGTAGGCAGACAAGTGAGTCAGCTGTGTTCAAAGGGGACTGCTTGGAGTGCTGATGGAGACCAAAGAAGGCAGATGTCAGCCTTTTTGAGCCACAAGGGAAGGCATCTTAGAGAAGGCACAGCCTGAACTGAACTTTGAAAATGAGGAGTTAGCTAGTCAAAAGGTGATTTGTTTTTTACCTTTTAGGAAAAGGGTGTTAGAAATTAGAAAACACTGTAGCTCATCTTAGCCCAAAGAAAGGATTGTTAAAGAGTAGATGAGAGGAGAGCTTATGTTGCTGAAAGATACAGGGATTTAGAAAAGAATTTTGAGGAGTAATGTGATCAGACTGCATATTTCACAGAGTTGAAGATGGCTTTGGGGAATGTTGGAAGTGAAAGTCTGAGCACAGAGCTCTGCTTTATACTTTGATTCTTTAGGGGTTTCACACCCTAGCACTGTTTACATTTTGAGCTGGGTGACTATTGTAGGGGATTATACATGCCTGGTAAGGTACTTAGTATTAGCTGGGTGCATGCCTTTAATCCTAGCACTCTGGTAGCAGAGGCAGGCAGATCTCTGAGTTCAGGGTCAGCCTAGTCTACATAGCGAGTTCCAGGACAGCTGGGGCTACAGGGAGACCTCGTCTCAAAAAAACCAAAAAAAAAAAAAAAAACCCCACAAAAAGCCCCCCCACAAAAGATCCCTAAGTATTAGTCAGCATCAGTAATGTCTGTTTCACATTCACAGTCTTGTCTCTAGACATTGCCACATGTCTCTTTGTAGAGCTGCTGGCCAAGACGGATAGTACTTGAAAGGGGGAGTGAGGATTGAAAGAAAAAACAAGAGACAGAGGAAAAAATACTTGGGAGGACTGTCAGTAGAGACTGCAGCCCCGGTTTATTTTAGCTCCGCCTTTTTATACAGTAGAACAGAGATAGCCACCTGTTTGCTTAACTCAATTAGTTTCAACAGCTGTTTTCCCACCTGTATCTGACGGGGAAGGAGCAGTCAAATACTTGTTGTGAACGCCACCATATAAACACATTCCTCCTGACTTGGTAGATTAGGTACTGGTGTGCAAAACACAAACTCCGTAAACAAGCAAGCCTATCACAGCTCAATGTACATAATGGATTAATAGTTCCCAACATCTCCTCCTTTTTTATTTTTTATAACCCCAGATTATGCTATATCCAGGACAGAAGGACCGTGCCTGTCTTAGGTTGTCTTCTGCTAGAGCAAAGTCTTACCTGTCATCAGCACGTAGCTTCCATCAGCTACGCCCTGTCTTAGGTTGACTTTCTCCCAGAAGATCTTACCAGTCTTTGACTACCGGCCTCTGTTAGGGGAGGGAGCGCCTCACATCATGTACAGCAGCCTTGACTTGCCACAAGGTTTCATAAATAACTTTACTGCCACCAGATGAAAACAAAGACATAGAAGGAAAAGCATGTCAAGTCCCACTAAACCATACACAATGGAGGACCACGATGGTAAGGTGGCTCTCAACCTTTTTAGAATATCTGCTGCTGCTTATAGGGTGGAAATGCTTGCAGAGAAATTTTTTTCTCTATTATCTCTTCACAATAACACTTTGACATTGGTACAGTATCCACTTCGTCCCACAAGCACACAGTCATCTACTTGTACACACCCGGACTTATTATCATTTTTAACAAAACAAATAGGCAACCCGCTTCCCGATCCCAAATAATAAAAATACGTCGCCACTTGCATCATCAGGTGTTTTGAAGCAGGGTGAGCAATTAACCGAGAGTCATTCACAGTCACTACTATCTCTTTTTCCTCCCATATCGTGGGATGCAATATTGTGGATCAGGAGCATAAGTCCAGTATAACTCAGCCAGGATCACTTGCGGGAACGTCATCATCAGCCACATTTGCCACCTCATCATTCTTTTCCACTTTTTCTGGCACTCGTCTGGTGAACCTCACCAGCCTTTCTGGCAGTCACCTGGCTCCATCCACGTCCTGCGGGAAAAACACAAACATGCCCTCTTCCCCATATCAATACAGGGTCAGGGCCATTCCATTGTCTAGTTGAAGGATCCTTTGTTTGCTCCTTGGGCCCGAAGCATATTCCTTACAAAAACTGAGTGACTCTTTCCTTGCCCCATCTTCTCCCAAGATAAATACTCACCGCTCCTCAATCTTACCGAGTGTACTCACTCAATTTCTCCAGTGGTGTCCTTCACTTTTTCCTCTACTTTTCAGGTCCCTCTTCTGGGCACTACTTGCTGGTGCCAGCGGCCAAGACGGACAGTACCTGAAAGGGGGAGTGAGGATTGAAAGAAAAAAAAGAGACAGAGAAAAGATACTTGGGAGGACTGTCAGTAGAGACTGCAGCCCCCATTTATTTTAGCTCCGCCCTGTTATACAGTAGAACATCAGAGATAGCACCGTTTGCTTAACTCAATTAGCTTCAACAGCTGTTTTTCCCAGCATGTATCTGAGGGGGAAGGAGCAGTCAAATACTTGTGAACTCCACCATATAAACACATTCCTCCTGACTTGGCAGATTAGGTACTGGTGTGCAAAATACAAACTCTAAACAAGCAAGCCTGCCACAGCTCAATGTACATAATGGATTAATAGCTCCCAACATAGAGCCATGACTTAAGCCAATGGTAATTCTTTTTTTACACCTGTTTTCTGTTTTTTAAATCATTTAATGAGACTAATGAAAGATGTAAACAACATATATTTTTATAGTATTAATAACATTTGGTCCCAAGTCTGGATAGTAGTTAACTGTGGAAAGAGCCATTGTATCTTTATCCATAACAGATCTTTTTCTTCTTTTTTTTAAAAACATTTTATTGTTTGGTAACTTGACTTTTTTTCTGTCATTGCTGTTTTCTGAAGTCTTCTTTGTGTTAAGACTGATTTATTGATAATTTCTGATTACTAGACCCCTAATAGTGTCTTATATCCTTTAAATTATTAGGAGATTTGGCTTCTGGTTCAGATGCAAATGGGAGTACAGAATCATTTGAAATGGTCATTGAGGAAACATCTATAGATTCTGCAACAAAACAAAACTCTGGTAGGATGCTAAGAATTCATTGCAATTTTAGTATATCCATTACTGAGGCGTAGTTTTGTCTTATTATCCACAGAAGACTTTTAAATATGATTTTTCTAAGAAACATCCACTTAGAACAATTCAGATTCTATAAAATTATGATCTGAGAATAATGACTTCAACTTTATTATTTGTGTGGTAAATATTTTATTCATTTTGTCTTCTTGCAGATGTCTTATAATACCTTTTTTTGAATAAATGACTACTTAGAACATGTGATGAAAGCTGTATACCTTTTCCCCAAACATATGTACCTACTCAAAAGACATATCCTTCCATTTCAAAGATTAATGATGCTGTTTGAGTCCCCTTCCTTGCCAAGCCCACTGGTGGTACCACGGGGTGAGGAAGTCAGGAACTTCAGTCAAGAAGACTTGCTGCTCATACAGCATGTGTAAGCAGGCATGATTGTAAAGACGCTTTGCATTCTTCAGGTGCCACAGCAGAAGCAGATTGGGTTCCTCTTGAGCTGTGTTTTGGAATTCCTTTGTTCAGTTCTGAATTAAACCGGAAAGTTTGTCAGAAGATTGCTACACATGGCCTTTGCAGAAAAGAGAGGTGAGGGCTTTTGTTCACTGTCATCTCTTCATCGTCTCAGTTTTTAAGCTGTTACTGAAGTTGCTGTAGCCTGCTGTCTTTTAATTCATATTTGAATGTAACAGTTGCCCTGTATATTTGTTGATTGAATAAAAAGATGCTAGCTTTAAGAGATTTTAATTTCTTTTTCAAAAAACATTAAATTTAAGTAGATTAGAAGTAGGGAACCAGAAGCAGACATTTTGGGTTCATGTTTTTGTAAATTCACTTGACTACCAGGTTTGGTGAGAGTATGTTGAAATGATCATTCATGTACATGAAGTATGAACCTGTTTTTAAAATGCATGAATGTCTATGGAAAGTTTCTCTCCTGCACTTCTCTCATACTTAGTCAAAAGTTATATCAATAGTAATTGTCTCATCTTAGAATTCTGGTGACTCCTCTAGAATCATCTCCACTTTCTGCATTTTTTGAAATGGTGTGTATTGCTTTTCAGAGACAGAATGCAGATTTGAGCTCCTGTGCCAGCTCCGATTTTTGGGAGTGGCTGTGAGAAGAAGTGCTGGGAGGTTCTAAGGCTCAGCAGCAAAGACTGTCATGGAGCTGAGGGGTGATTTGGAAGGGTGATGCCTGCAGCTCTCCCTGTGTTTATAACTTATGAAAACAAAGTTGGACAGTGAAAAACTTACTTAGTTGTTAGTGGAGCTTATATTAGAAAATTAAAGGTGCTCAACTAATAATTTCAACTATTCTCTAAAGTAGAATAAATGAATTAAAAAGTGTAAGTAGTATTTTAGGCTGAGCACTCATTGTTACTGCACCCCATGCAGCTATGAATGACCCCATTCACCTCTGTGGACTGGAAAGAGAAGTGTTTCTGATTAAGGCTGAGAGTAGAGTAGGTCTGTGGGTGCAGACATACTTAGAAGGAGCTTGACGCTGTGTTGGTTTGCTAAACAGCGTTAATCATTTACCCCTAAAGCCTGTGGTCTCTACCTCAGGTTTTTTTGCAGGTTCACAGTGACAGGGATAGCTCTAAGGTTGGGATAACATTGTGAAAGAGGGGATGAATAAACGCTGGAAGCTAGGGAGAAGAGCTGCAAAATATCATCTCCTGGGCAAGACATAGCCATTGCAATCTCGAACTCAATGCAGCTGGGGAATGCCTGCAGTGCCTGCACAAGAAGGGGCCTGTCAGTAGCCAGGCATGGATGGAGGAGGGGTTCCAGGGACTCTCACTGCTGGACTGTTTGTTACAGATAGATTCAGGGAGGGGGAACCATTGCCTTCAGATATGTACCCACCCATGATTTCACCAGATTCCAGTGGTCCTGCTTAAATGGAATAGGTCACAAACCAAACCAGAGCTCTTAAATCTGGGACAGGGACTGATAGGGAGGGGTTGGTAGGGATGGGGATGAGATGAGAGAGGGCGTGGGAAGGGAATAATCAGAGTACATTATAAACATGGCTGAAATTTTCCAATAACAAAATTAATCATTTTTTAAGAAATGTAAATACTATGAAACTTCAAAGATTGCTACTATAATTTTAACTAGTTTGTATATTTGAAAAAATTTCATGTGGGTGGGTTGTGTTTAATCTGTCAGATTTTTTTTCTCAGCTTGTTTTGACATTTGTATTTATTGAGATTAAATGTTTTTTAAACAATAGCTTCTATTTTAGTTACATAAATTTAAATATTATTATTTCAAAATGGCCTTTTAGGATATTAAAACAGGCAAAAATTTTGTTGATGAAAAACATTGAAATTGCTTTTGAAAAATTTAGGTGATTTATGGAATTATTTATACATAGGGGCATTTAAATTGGTAAAATTAAACTTACCATGTTTTAATTCTGCCATTATATTCATTTTAAGTTTTTTTCCTCCCCCTTTTTTTCAGCCTTCAAAGCCTCTTACATTCCAGTAGAAAACTCTCTCTACAAGTCCTTAACTTTGTTCACTCATTCCAGGTAACAAAACTCAAGGTACACAGGGTATTTGTGTAGAGCGTGATAGTATGTAAAAGCCCTCGGTGTTTGATTTCAAGTCTTCCAGTAGCAAGATACTAAGAAGCATCAGTTTTGTTTTATAAATGAAGACTGAGATTCAGGAAGTGAATTGACTTACATACCTCACTGGTCAGGTCTTCACGGACAGAGCTGCGTCTCTTGTTCTGTGCCAGGGCTTCATTCAGCACAACAGCGTTGAACAGCTGTGGCGCGCGTGCTGAGGCACAGGTGGCAGTGCTTAAACCATAGTTTTGCTCCACTGCCAGGAAGCAGTGGGGGTGGGAATTTGGGAGTAGTTGGGGTCTTTTGTGGAAGCAAGGGTCAAGGATATGGAAGGAAAGGATATTCTAGATGTTCTAGATTTATAGATGGAATATTTCTGCTCACAGTATCTGATTTAACATTATGAAGTCAGTATTTTAGTTTCATTTCATTCATTTGTTCACTTCATTTATTCAATAAATACTTGGGTCTACTGTATGCCATGCTCTTTGCCAAGTGTCAAGGAAACAGTGAGGTGGAAGACACTAGTGGAACATGTAGTGTTATGTGAGACTCCAGCAAAACACAAAGACTCGTAAGTAATTACAGATGTCTGCAAGTACTTCGAAGGAACTTGGGGAGCTGAAGGAAGACCTGCCTTAGAAAATGAGAAATAATATTTAAACTGAAACTTACAGAATGGAAAAGAATGTTGCAGGCCGAATGCAGGAGGCACGAGGGTCCTGTTGTCAGGAAAGCACTTAGGTACATGAGGAACAGGAAGCCCCTGAAAGAAGGGAAAGTGGCAACAGGCGAGGTGAGGCTCAAGGCAGGGCCTTCCTGATCATGTTAAAAGATTTGTGTATATACTAAATACCGGGAGAGATGATGGAAGGCTGGTGAACAGGAGAGGTGTTATTTCTGATTGACTTTTAAAATATGTGTTAATGTGGCACACACCTTTGATCCCAGCAAAGGCAGGTGGATCTCTGTGAGTTCAAGGTCAGCCTGGTCTACATAGTGAGTTCCAGGACATCTGGGGCTACAGGGAGACCCTGTTTCAAAAAGACCCCCCCCCCAAAAAAAAAATGTATTAATGTTAGAGAGGCACAGGCCAGAGGCAGGATCAGTTCAGTGCCTTATAGTTGACCAAGCACAGCAGGCTGGGTACAGAGCATCCTTTTCACTAAAAAATGTACAACTAAATTTGCATGTATCCCTAATAAAGGTTTGTTTCTTGTACATATGTGCTATCATACCAATAAATTAATCATGAAGTCCACAAAAAAATTTTGGATATAAATACGATAACCATGGAGAAGTTATGAAATTCTCAATATTGTGCCCCACTTTGGAGGTCGCTGGCCTTGGTGACTACTAAATCATTTGGGATATGTTCTGGAGGTAGATTTGTAAAACTTGATGAATTAAATGTAGGAGAAATGTTGCCAGTGTAGAAGGAAGGAAGGAATCAAGACTGAGCTCATCCTTTTTGCTTAGCCAGGTAAGTGAGTGGGGAAGGCTGGGGGAGAAGAGGTGGGAATGAAGGGCCTGTTTACCAGGCAGAGGAGACACCTGAGAGCCACGGTTAGATATTGGACATATGAGCCCAGAGTCTTGGGGAACGTGGGTCTGAATATATGCATCTGAGAAGCCTGGGGGTGCGTGGCTTGTTTTGGTGCATAGTGTTGTGACTAGAATTTTAGTGGTGTTCTGTTAGGTGACACGTTGAGGTAGATCCAGCCTATGAGAGGCAACCTCTTTTCTCATTGTTACCTCTCTGTTTATTTCAAAGCACCTCTCTGTTTATTTCAAAGCACATATTGCAGCCTTCCTTGTTATTTTTGCACATATTAATATCTGCCATTATTTTGGGTTAACTCCATCTCCTGTAGTACTTTATATTCTGTAACTGTTTATTGGGTAATCAAGGTTGAGGTATATTTTTCATCAGTTGTACTGTTTTGTAAAACTTGAATGTGAAATAGTTCTCTTGTTCGTTGATGTTTTTAGGAAGGTGCTTCAACTCTGGATGTTCACATGGAGCCCAGTCTCTCAAGTTTGCTTTCACAGTCATCCTATGCTGATATGGGAGTTCCACTTCCTGCAAAAAACTTAATGTTTAAAGATGGCCTCTTAGCAGAATGGAACGGACGGTCACCTTCTTCCCTTCTCATTGCTAATCTCCATTTGCAATAATGCCATCACACCAGTTTTTGCTCACACCTTCTGCCTTTTTTCTTTTTTTTTTTAGACATTGGCTTTATAGTGTCAGCCACTAAAAAGCATCCTGCTGCCACAGTGCAATCCCTGCTTCACTGATGGGGAAGGTCTGGAACGTGTTCATATTTTCTGAAATGTCGCTCATTATTGCACATCTTACTGCAACAAGTGCTTTTTAGCAGCCAGCACTGTATTTTTTACCTTGAGACAATCTGCATTTCTTTTATAAAACTAAGGGTGTACTTTATAGGCTTTAGATGACTGTTACGTTTATAAGCAGTCACTATGAATATTGCAATGGTAATTTTATATGTTAGTTTAATGGACATAAATCTTGTTTAATTTTATATTTTGTTAACTACACTTTAGGGGAGCAAGGGAAGAGATGGAACTCTTCCTCTGAAAAGGCTTCTTGGTTCTGAAAGTAGTCAAACTAGAAAAGTAAGCATCCAGTATTGAGAGTTGATACACTAGGGCATTAAGAATTCCATGGGTGTCTGTAAATTATGTCAGTTGAACATTGCTGACGTAAAGATCAGATAGTTCTGTGATGGTAACCTCGATCTACAAGGTCTTAACTCTGTCCATTGACATCTCATGAGACACTTTGGAAATGCTTTATTTTTAAATGATGTCTATATGTTGTCTTCTGTTGTCACTCACTTTGGGCTTTATATTTTCATAGAGTCTTTACCGAAAAGTAGAATTTATTTTCCACTTGTAGTTGAGGCTGTTGCATGACTCATATTTTTGTCTTGTGGCTTTACCAATGAATTGTTACTGCAATTGAATTCCATGTTTTCAAACCAAGGATCATGATTTTGGATTAAAATTCAGATTAGAAGCATCAAAGCTATGTCTTTGATTGAGACAGTTCAGTGATAAAGTGATTATGGAGACATGAACATCTGGAGCTGAAATTTATGTTCATAGTTTTGGAGGAAATGATAAGGAAAGCTGAATAATTTCCAAATGTTTCCTCAGTCATTAATATCTCAAATGTCAGAATATTTGGAATCATCTTTTAGACTTTTCAGGTTCCCTCTCTTGGGAAGTTTGTGCAGAGTTATAGTTTGGTTGAGTTTCTCTTAAAGGGTAATGGTTTGCTTGCTTAAAACTAACCAAACCATCTGGTCAAACAGCAATCAGAAACCCTTAAAGCATTACAGAGTTTGAGAATATTAGAGCCTAACACTTTTGCTGATGGCTTTTGTTATTTATAGAAGTGGTGTGTGTATGTAATGTACTTCTGGAAGTATATGCCTTTCTTAAAACCGTTAATATAGCCATGCATTTAATACCATGGCCTATCTGTAGAACTGAGTATTTTGGACCAGGTTACCTGTGGCACAGTTAGTGCTGTTTGGGGGTAAATGTGGTAATGTTTAGTTTTCTACTTTGTCTTATATAAGGTAGAAACAATGTGTATGTTATGTCTGTCTATAAAAGGAAAAGTACATATTAATATTAAAATTAATTTCTTATGACTGTGAATCACTCATTTATTTTTCCAATAATTGATACTGTACATTCCTAGTGCTATTAGTTTTATATATATAAAATGTAACTTTTACAGTTTTCAACTGACAGGTGTATTTCTTTTGATCAGGGCTCTTTAATCTCATTTTCAATTTGCTGTTTGAATTAACTGTAGATATTTATCTTTGTATTAACAGTCCACACCAACTCTAATGATATGTACACTAATAAAGAATTGAACAATTTCAGTTATTGACAGTGGATCCAGTTACTGCTGAGTTTAAAGCTTAAAATATTAGAGTGATTTGCTGCTGTATTTCCTTTGAGAGATAGGAAGGAAGAAATAGAACCTAACAATGATCATGAACTTCAGGGAAACTACTGAAAAGACATGGTTCATCTCTTATTTTTTTGTGTTGAAAGGGGAGAATGAAATCATCAGATTCCCAGCTGAGGACCCCTCATCCTCTTACAAGGGATCGTTTACATTTTTAGAGCTGTATTGACAGATGTGAGATGCTGGTGTGCTTTGCTTTATGAATGTGGCTTGTTCCATTAGTGTAACTCAAGTATAAAGATGCATCTGTTACTTTGATACAAAAACAAACTAGCCTTCATTCTTTGCCAAAGAAGATTGATGAAAGCTCTGTCCAATTATTTTACAAATGTTGATTTCATTTGGCTTTGCACCACCTCCTCCCTTTCTTTTCCTTAACCCTTATTGTAGCTCAAACCATGACAAGCAAACATTGTTTAAAAACCAAGAAAAAGAGCTACTAACACCAAAAAGGGCATAAAATTTAGTAGGGGTACAGTTTCACCTCACAAAGGGGTCTAAAGAAATGCAACTATCTCATTTAAGAAATGGGATCATCTGATTTCCTTAGCGTCTTTCTTTTTTAAAGTATCAGTCAGGTGGTTCGATATTTGTGTAGGGGAAGAATAGTTTCTCTTAACGAGGTATTTCATTTTCTCTGCCATTCACATTTCTTTTTTTATGTTCAGTGTTTCGAATACAGTTTGTATTAAAAGACTTTAAAGTACCAAAACTATAACTCAGTACAGTGGATTGTTTTCTGTTATGATGTTAATATTATACAATGAAATTGTATGAAGTATTGTCAGTTTGATTATTTGTAACATGTTTACAAATAAACGGTGGTGTTGATCAAGTTGCTGTGGAAATGTGTCTAATTTTTGGAAGTTCTTAATCTTAAATACAGCTGTGCTTTCAGTGCTGTGACTTTCCTGTACTCTTTCTTCCTTCCTTCCTTCCTTCCTTCCTTCCTTCCTTCCTTTCTTTCTTTTTTTTGGTCTTTTTGAGGCAGGGTCTCCCTGTAGCCCCAGCTGGCCTGGAATTTGCTATGTAGACCAGGCTGGCCTTGAACTCACAGACATCTGCCTGCCTCTGCCTCCAAGTGCTAGGATTAAAGGTGTGTACCACTATATCCGACTTTCCTGTACTTAAAAAAAAAAAAAAAGACTTTTAAATTTTGTCCTAATTTCACATTTGCATGGAAATTGCTGGTAGGCCAGAGATGTTTCTGTCCTTCACTGAGCTTTCTTATACCTAATGTAAAAGCCACGCTGAAATTGAGTAATAAGTCTTCTAACTTTGTGTTCTTTTTTCAGAATCAATTTTGGCTTTTTAGTTCCTTTGTCTTTCCGTATAAATTTTATGATCCATTTCTTGATATCTACACAGAAAGTTGTAGGATTTCATCAAAATTGTAATCAGTCTGTGGATCATGGAGAAGAGCTGACCTGCAGATCTGTCTTTACTTAAAATTGTCAATTCATTATTTGCTATTGGGAGTGTTTGTAAATTTTCAAATTGAAATTATTCATTCCTGATGCATAGAACCGTGATTTATGTTTCAACCTTGCTAAGCTCACTTATAATTTTGTAGATTTGTGGGCAATTTTGTAGATTCTTGGGGGATTTCCTACATAGTCTATTGTGACTATGGTCAAGACATTATATTCTTTTTTTTTTTTTTTTTTGGTCTTTTTGAGACAGGGTCTCCCTGTAGCCCCAGCTGCCCTGGAACTCGCTATGTAGATCAGACTGGCCTTGAATTCACAGAGATGTGCCTGCCTCTGCCTCCCAAATGCTGGGACGGCCAAGACATTATGACATTATATTCTTTACAATCCGTATGCGATTGATTGATTGATTGATTGATTGATTGATTGATTGATTGCTGTTTTATCCTGGCTAGGGACTACCAGTGTGGTATTAAGTAGGAGTTGTGCACAGACATCCACTGTATGTTAGCTGTAGGTTTCCTTTTTAGATAACCTCTTTAAGAAGATTTATTTTTTCCCCTAATTGCTCAGCTCATCACAAATAGATGCTGGATACTGTGTAACCTTTTCACTTTATACAATGAAATCTTTAAAAAAAATTTAGTCTGTAAATATAAGTTTTATTAGTTGAATCAACTTTGCATGTTTGGTGTGAATGCCCCTTATTTGTGATGGAAATTTAGTCTGTCAATATAAGTTTTATTAGTTGTTGAATCAACCTTGCACGTTTGGTGTGAACGCCCCTTATTTGTGATGGATTATCCTTTTTAAATATTGATGGACTTGATTTCCTGAATATTGAGGTTTTTGTGTCTAAATTCATGAGGAGATAAAGGTCTGTAGTTTTCTTGTAATGGTTTAGTCTGATTTTAGTGTGAAGGCAATTTTGGGCTTACCAAATGAATTAAAAACTGTACCTTCTGATTTCTAGGAGAGATTATGAGGTTTATTCCTTAAATATTTGGTAGAAATTGTTAGTGAAATTATCTGGACCAAATTTTAGTTCCATCTGCATCTATCTACTGTCCATCTATCTGTCTGTCTATGTATGTATGTATGTATGTATGTATCTACCTACCTACCTATCTATCTATCTATCTATCTATCTACCTACCTACCTACCTACCTACCTACCTACCTACCTGTGGAACTGGAGTCGTGGTTATCTATCATCTCTATCATCTGTCTGTCTGTCTGTCTATCTATCTATCTATCTATCTATCTATCTATCTATCTATCTATCTATCTATGATCGATCTATCTGGTAGAATTTGTTAATGTAACCATCTGCATTCAGAATTTTTCTGTTTTGGAAAGTTTTGAAGTATAAATTTAATTTCTTTAGTAAATACATTCAAGTTAGCCATTTCCTCTTGGAACTTTGATAGTTGGTGTCTTCCAGGGAATTGGACCATTTCAGCTTAAATGTTTTATGTGTGGGCGTTAGTTGTTTGTAGTAACTCTTACTATTTTATTCTGTTGGAGCACAAAAGGGAGGTGTAGTCTCCACAGTGGGTACAAAAGCTTGACCTGGTGGGGTTTTGTTGTTGGGTTTTTTTTTGTTTGTTTGTCTGTTTTTGAGACAGGTTCTCTTATAACCCAGGCTAGCCTCAAATCCTGTGGGTAGCTGAGGATGGCCTCAAACTTTGCCCTTCATTTTTGTTTCCTGTGCCTTACTCTATTTCAGCCTCTGGTTCAATTTCCCTTTAGTATCCTGGCTGGATGGTGAGGTGAGATTTGCAGGGAGTACCTGCTCTTTTTTTCTTTCTGCTGGATCCCTCTTTGCTCTGCAAAGCCATCTGCCAGGCCTAGATCATCTATTTTCATCTTCATGCCCTGTGGTTTGGATTACAAACAAGCCATTAGTTTTATCATTGATTGCTTCTGTTTCTCATCTTGTGGTTTTAGTGGGTCACTGTCACAAACAAAAGGTTCAGCATTTTCAAATCAGAACTCTTCCAGCCTCGTGTTATATTAAGGAATATAACAGAAGTGGAGGAAGAACAGTGGGGTCTCACACCCAGCTCCCAGCTCCTGTCATGCTTGATGTTTAGCCCTCTTGGTTCATGTACATAAACATTCAGATTTTGTATGCATGTACACACACAAACCACTCTGCCTAGCGATAGATAGATGATAAGGTACAACCTGGATATGTAAATTATCCCATAATTTATAATCATGATTAACTCTGAATTAATAGGTCCCACAAACTAGAAACAGTGCAAATATCCCCACCAAACCATTACTGCTACCATATTACAGTAGAATTAAAAGCTGGTAAAATCAGGCAAGAGCTGCCAAATAAGACGTAGTCACGTTTAAAAGGATGGGGAAAACAAAATTACAGTTTTTTAAAGATATGTTTGTATACTAGAAAAATGAAAAAAATGAGCTGAAATATTAATAGAAATTAAAAGACTAGGAAGTGACTTGTCTATAAACAATCTATTGTGGATATAATGAAAGAAAATGTCTTCTGTTTTAGAATTTTAAATTGACACAAATTTAAAATTGCACGTGTTAATTGGATAAATTGTAATGTTAAATCTAGCTAATTAGTCTCCTTAAGCATCGTTCTTTACAGTGAAAACTTTTGGCTCTTCAGAGCTTGTTTATACTTTTTTTTTAAAAAAAAAATTATCTTTATTTTATGTGTATATTGCCTGCATGTATGTGAGTGCACCTGTGTCGTGCAATGCCGTGGAGATCAGAAGAGGGCTTCAGATTCCCCTGGAACTGGAGTTAAGGACAGTTCATAGCTACCATGTGGGGGCTGAGACTCAAACCTGGGTCCTCTGCAAGAGCAGACACTGCTCTCAACTGCCGAGCCGTCTCTCCAGCCTGCTTGTTTATACTTTTACTATAATTTTTTTGATAGTCACTTTTTATTTAAAACTTTTAGTCAGATCTCTATTATTACTTCCACAAGGGATTAAGAAATATCACAACTTATGAACTACAATACAACATTGTTTTAAAAAAAAATTGTGAATGACACTGAAAATAAAAAGTACTATTTATAGGCCTTATGTTATAAACTCTTTGAGAATTTCATACATGTGTTCAATGTATTTTGATCTTAGCCCTCATTCCTCCTAGATCCACCTCCCACCCCCCCCAGACCCTTGTGCCTTATACATGTCCTTTTTAAAAATAACACACAGAGTCCAATTATGCTGCCCATATATTCATAGGCCATCTATTGAAGCATGGTCGACCTACTAGGGACTGCACCCCTGAAGGAAACAGACTCTCCTAGCAGCCATCAACTGTCATCAAGTCCTTAGGTCGGGGTAGAAGCTTGTGAGCCTCTGTCCCTTCATGCTCTATCTTGTGATCCATAGCTTGATCTTGTGCAGGCAGCTGCTGTGAGCTCATGGGGCAGTGGTTCTGTCATGTCCAGAAGGCACTTTTTGCCCCAGTTCTCCTTGACATCTGGTTCTTTATATCTTTCCGTCCCCTCTTCCAGATTGGTTCCCTGAGCCTTGGAGGAACCTGGAGGGGGTGTGATAGAGGTACTGCATATATGGCTGAATACTCTGCAGGCATTTTATTCTCTGCACTTTGACCACTTGTGAGTTTCTGCATTAGCCACCATCCACTACACAGAGAAGCTTATCTGTTGAGGACCAAGAGCTGTACTAATCTAAGAGTATGGGGATATCTATTTAGAGGGCAGTTTGATACTATGCCCATTTAGCAAAATAACAGTAGAAGGTTCATCCCTGAGGCCTATGAGCTCCCCAGTCATGGGTTCGTGGTGAGATTTACAGTACCAGACATGTGTTTCCTACCGTGGAGTGGGCCTTGAACCAGAAAATGATTGGTTACCCTCATAACATTTGTGCCATTATTGCACCCTTGGAACTAACTTGCCATATCAGTCATTATTGTAGCTTTCGGGGTTCACAGCTGGGTAAGGCTGATGACCTTTCTCCCCTAGCAGCATACACAGCACTTACAGTTTATGGTGTCTTCAACAATATATCTTACCATCAAGTTCTGGTGGGCCACCAAGAACAGTGGCAATAGGCTATGTATTGTTTGGGGGAGGGCGGTGGGCTCTCTGAGACACACCTTATATGTTGAAAATATCCTGTCTTCTAGCCTTTTGAAATGAATATAGAAAAATGCTTTTTAAATGGTAAAATTTTAAGTGTAATGAAAGATTCCTCTAAAAACTTAAATGAATAAATATAGACATATAGTCATCTTCATAAATTAAAAAGTAAAATGAAATACCTGGGGTCTTTAGGATCCCATAACAAACTGCCATATACTAGGTAGCAAACATTTATTTCTCACAGTCTGGAGACTTGAGATCCAAGACCAAGATGCTGATAGTATCTGGTGAGAGCCT